CAGCCCTAGATGTCTGTTTCAGGTTTTTTTTTCCAAGATTATTTATGGGCCTTGCTAAATCCCCAGCCCTAGATGTCTGTTTCAGGTTTTTTTTTTCCAAGATTATTTATTTATTTATTTATTTATTTATTTATTTATTTATTTATTTATTTATATATATGTATATAGCATATATGACTGCAGGCACCAGATCTCATTACAGATGGTTGTGAGCCACCATCCATGTGGTTGCTGGGAATTGAACTCAGGACCTCTGGAAGAGCAGTCAGTGCTCTTAACCTCTGAGCCATCTCTCCAGCCTACCGCAACTCTTATAAAGAAAAACATTTAATGAGGGTGGTGGCTTACAGTGTCAGAGGATCAGTCCATTATAATCATGGTTAGGAGCATGGCTGTGTGTAAAGAGACATCGTGCTGGAGGAGTAGCTGAGAGTCATCTTCCAGGCAACAGGAGGTTGACTAAGACACTGGATGGTATCCTGGGCATAGGAAACCTCAAAGCCCGCCCTCACAGTGACACACTTCCTATAACAAAGCCATACCCACTTCAACAAAGTCTGCCTGCCTCTGCTTCCTCCAGAGTACTAGGATTTAAGACATGAGGACACCAGGTGTGGTGGTTTGAATGTAACTGACCCCTAGAATCTCACAGGGAGTGGCCCTAATAGTCTTTTTCTGCTCTTCCGGAGGTCCTGAGTTCAATTCTCAGCACCCACATGGTGGCTCACAACCATCTGTAATGAGATCTGGTGTCCTCTCTGGCCTGCAGGGATGTGTGCAAGCAGAACACTGTATACATAATAAATAAATAAATATTAAGAAAAAAAAGATCTGTTTAAAAAAAAAAAGAAATAGTCTTTTCCCTTTTTGAGACATGGTCACGTGGGCCTCTAACTTCTAATCCTTCTTCCTCCAACTCTAGACTGCTGAGATTACATGTTTGTGCCCCCATTCCTGGTTTTCTGCAGTACTGGAGATTGAACCCAGGGTCTCTTGCATGCTAGGTAAATGTTCTGCCAACTGAGCTATACAGCCCAGCCATGAAATAGTCATTTGTAATCTCAGCACTTGGGAGGTAGGTATAAAAGGATCAGGAGCTCAGGCATCCTTGGCTACATAGCAAATTAAAAGCAAGTCTGGGCTACATGAGATGCTGTCTCAAAGGAAAAGCCCTCTCCCCCAGGATAAATGAAAGGGAAATATGGTCAGATAGCCTGGAAAGCTATAGGGCTACTTATCTGAATCTTTAAGTGTGAGATGTGCAATAAAGGCACAAAGGTAGCACTTGGAAAGCAAAGGCAGGTGGATTTCTGTGAGTTCCAGATGAGCCAGAGCTACAAAGTGAGACTCTGCCTTAAAAAGTACCTCTCCACTAAAAACAGTATGAAGGGGAAGTTAATGATTTGGATCTGAAATATGAGCTCTGCAAGGATCATATGTAAGGCTCGGTTCCCAACTCAAAGTTGAGGCTTTAGGAAAGTGACTATATCATGATAATTTGATATGCTATCAAGTATGATGAACACTTAGGAGAGTCAGGACCTAAGTGAAGGGAATTGGTCACTGGAGGTTATCCTTGGTTCCTTCCTCTTGTCGTCTTTCCCATTGCTTCCTAGCCATCATGAATTGAGCAGCTTTGTCTGGTACCTGCTTCTGTGACCATAATGTTCCACCCACCACAGTCATAAAGCCACAGAACCAGCCAACCGTGGATTGTAACCTCTGGAACAGTGTGTTAAATCAATCTTCCTTTATTCATTTTTTTTTTCTTTTAGTCAGGGTCTCCTGTAGCCCAGGCTGGCCTCAGAATGCTATGTTCATAGAGCCAAGGTTGACTGAACTGACCCCCCAGCCTCTACCTACCAAGTGCCGGGATTACAGGCTTCTATCACCAGACCTTTGCTGTGGATATTACTCTATATAAATAAAACACTGATGGCCAGTGACCAGGCAGGAAGTAGGTGGGACAAGGAGAGAGGAGAATTCTGGGAATCGGAAGGCTGAGGAGGGAGACACTGCAGCCACCGCCAGGACAAGCAGCATGTAAAGACGCTGGTAAGCCACCAGCCACGTGGCAAGGTATAGATTTATAAAAATGGGTTAATTTAAGATAAAAGAACAGTTAGCAAGAAGCCTGCCATGGCCATACAGTTTATAAGTGATATAAGCGTCTGAGTGATTATTTTATAAGTGGACTGTGGGACTGCGGGGCTTGGGGAACCTGGAGAGAAGCCCTCCAGCAACAGACCTTGTTTATATGTTATTGGTGTTCAAACCCAATTCAGGGCTTCCTGAATGCTACATGTCTTAATTTGTTTTTCAGTGACTTTGAAAAAAGTATTAACCAATATAACTTGTGGTAGGAAAGGGTTTATTTGGTTTATACATCCCAGGTCCCAGACTATCACTGAGAAAAGCCGGGTCAGGAATTAGGAGGCAGGAACTGAAGCAGAGGCCATGGAAGAATACTGCTTACTGACTTGCTTTACACTCAGCTTGAGGGTTTTATTTATATATATATATAAAAAACCAAGGACTACCTGCCCAGGAGTGGCACTGCCCAGAGTGGACTGGGCTTTTCCACATCAATCATTAGTCATGAAAAGGCCTCCACAGACTTGCCTACCAGCCAATCTAATGGAGGCATTTTTCCCAATTGTGGTTCCTTCTTCCTAAATGACTAATTTGCAAAGTTGACAAAAAGCAAACAAACAAACAAAACCAACAACTAAATAGCACAACTAGACACATGTCAACTAGACACATGAACTAACAACCTGAGTTGTTAAGAACAGTTAAGAACACTAGCTGCTGCTTCCAGGGGATCTGGGTTTGATTCCCAGCACCCACATGCTGGCTAACAACCATTCATAACTCCAGTTTCAAGGATCAGACACCCCTCCTGGTCTCTATGGGCACTGCATGCACGTGGCACACAGATAGCAGGCAAAACACCCACACATAAAACAAAAATCTTTAAAGCCTTTAATCCCAGAATTTAAGATGCAGAGGTAGAGAGATTTCTGTAAGTGTGAGGACAGGGTGTTCTACAGTGAGTTCCAGGACAGTCAGAAATCCACAGACTCTGTCTAAGAAAAAACAAAAAAAAAAGCAAAACCCTTCCTTGTTTATCACAACTATCACTATCATGTTAATAACAAGATCACAATATAAATACGGTTTGGTGGCGCACGCCTTTAGTCCCAGCACTCGGGAGGCAGAGGCAGGCAGATCTCTTTGAGGTCAATGCCAGCCTGTTCTACAAAGGGAGCTCTAGAACAGTTAGGGCTACAATGAGACCTTGTCTCAAACACACCTGTCCCCAAAGCCCAAAGAAACCAAACCAAGTAGGCAAATAAATAAAAGTCCTTCAGTTGGGGCTGTAGAGAGGACTCGGCCAATAGCACTTTTTGTTTTTGCAAAGGACAAAATGGGAGGGGCTT